CATTGTCGTCATTTAAAATTCTTTTATTTTAATAAGTTTTAATAAAGAAAAAAAAATATTTAGAATACAGAGTATTGTATCTTAAATTTAGGTTATTAATTAATTGTTATTACGACCAATTTTCAATACGTTTTTTAATTACTAGGCTTAGATCGTTAATTCAACGATGTTTATATTTAGATAACAAATTACTTATAATCATCGTTTATAAATTAAAATAAAATTAAATAAAATATTCAATAAATTAAATAAAATATTTAATTGTACTCGAATTTTTTATAAGAATTTTATATAAAAATTTATATTTTTTTAATTAAAATACAATTAGATATTTAACACAAATTTATAAGTGTAATTTTAATAATAATAATAAATATAATAATAATAAATACATTAATAATAAAATAATAAAAAACATATTAAATTTATATTATAATTCTACATATTCCACCTGCTTACAATAAATTTGCAAGGCAAAAATGCTCTTGTATGACGTATGAATCGTTAGGGGTGACAGACTATCATACACAACGCGTATGCGAGAGCTGTTCACCAAAATTTTGGTGAGCACGCCAACACGTTGGTAAAGGTGGCAGACTATCATACCTTTGTGTCATACGACGTTTTTTTCTCTCGTATGACATACCAGTATGATAGTCTGCACCGCGCTTAAGTGTATTTTACTTATTTTCTCCTTATCATCTTAAAATAATGCGTTATTTTTATTATCTATATTTACTAACTTAAATGGGCCCTTGTATAAGCTATCTAATTTATCTCCTACGTATTTAACTAATACTAAGTCTATTACAGATACTTTACTACTAAGTGCATTCCTATCATGTAATAGGAATTTATTTGTTTTCTATTTCCTATTCCTTTTATTGCGCGTTTATATGCGTTTTGCAAACGAAATTTTATTTCTTTGTCGTACGCTGCTATATTATAAACGGGATCTATTTCTAAAGTGTTAAGGAAATCTTAGATAGTGGGTGATTTATCGAAAACCAATTCATAAGGACAATACTCATGTACAATCGAAGGTGTGGTGTTATAACAATATGTAATATATGTTATAGTAGCCACTCATCCTAATCCGTTTTTGCTATGGAAATGATCTTGTGTACTCGTTAAATGTCCTATGATTTCGTTCTACTGTACATAATGATTAATGGTGATACGCGGTTGACGTAGTATTTTCTACCGTCAATAGCTTGCATATTTCATCGAAAATTTTATTTTTACAATCGGTCCCCATTGTCTGTAATAATTTTCCTCATAGGCCCGTAGATCAGTATAAAGTTTCCGAATACTGCTTTTGCTATTGTTCTTGCACTTTTTTCTACAATTGATACCGATACCACATATTTTGTTAAGTCACATATCATTGTGACTGCGTATGAATTACCTTTTTCCGATTTTGGAAATGGTCCAATAGTATCAATCAAGACTACATCAAAGGCAGCAGTTGCTGTATCGGTTATTATCATTTCTGTCTTCGTTTTTGTCAGAGATTTATTTCTTTTTCACTTGTCACATCTCCTGACATATTTAGTGATATCTTTAGTAATGTTTTTCCAGTAATAATACTGTCTTTATTTTTTCATTGTCCGCGTGATCCTTGGGTGACCTCCCCAGATTGGATCATCGTGGTATTTTTGTAATATTTTTATTTTGCCACCGTTATTCACAATTTTTTTTTAATTGGCGTCAGGGCTATTTCGACTTTCTAGAGAATTTTATTACCTTTCTTTTTATACTCATTTACCCGGGTATTAGTAACTATATAGTCATCTAGTGACTGCTGCAGCTTTGTTAAACCTTCAACACTTGCTATTTTTTCAAGCAGTGGAAAGAATTGATCCAAGTCAATTTTTCCATTAGCGCTTAGGTGTTTTATATTTTGTGTGATCAATTTTTTATTCATTCTTATCATTCTTTATTCATTTAAACAATCGTCTTTAATTGCTAGCTGGGCGATGTTCCTATTAGGTTTACCTCTGAACGCTTCATATATTTTTAAGTTTGATGACATTTTATTACATTTTTCATTATTTTCTTCATTTGTTTCAGTTCTTTTCCTGTTTTTATTTCCCAGCTTTATAGTTACTTTTAATATTTTTTTGGCTGTTTCTCTTATTTACTTTATTTCATTGAAGTTTATGCGCGACACTGGGTCAGCAGCATAGTTTTCCTTTTCCCTCAGATACTCAGATACCACAGGTAAAAAGGATTCGAAAATATTCGATAAGTCATATAGTACAGTCCACGTTTGATTGATCACATCAAAACAAACTGTGCCTGATTGCTCATCAATATTTTGATGATGTATTTTGTTAATAAAAACTATACTAAGGGATTTGAATGGGTAATTATCGGCAAGTAGACACGCACCTTCCAAACACCACCTTCATACGGCGTACCATTAGGTCTAAAACATTTTATATGAAATTTATTAATACCACCGAGCATGATTCAATCAGATTCATGACAGCGTTATCCATACGACGCTTGCCAGAACTTGGTGAAGATATTTTCTCTGCAAATTGGTGTACTTTTACCTGGTGTCCTTTGGACGGGATGTAAATTGATGTTATATTCACGGCTAAGATGCAGCAAAATCATAACTCGACCACAAAGAAATAAGAAATTTTATTTAAATTTTGTGCAACAGATTTCATACATTTTTTCATAATTGTACTTCTGTGCATCTGATAAAATTTAATAAACAAATGCAATAATATAATCGTAGTAATTATTATAAAATAAGTGGTAATGTTTTGTTGATAATTTATTGCATCAACTTCATTTACCACTTTGGTTTGTGGTCTATCAAATTTGGCCTTTTTGCCACACACTTTTTTTAAAAGAAAGTTTTCGAAAAAAAAAAAATTTATTGACAATTTTACAATTTTTACAATTTTACAATTTTATAAATTTATTCTATATTTATATTTCCATATATTTATATAAAAAAAAATGAAATTAATTTTCTAGCAAACATTCATAATTTCTACAAAATCTGATTACTTTTGTTAAATTTTTTTCTTATTTTTTGGTTTTAAATTTCATTGTAAAACATATTGTTACGAATTTGATCAGATTAAAAATGGAATGTTTAAATATTATTTAATCATTATGTCAATTGATATTTTATAATAAGTTAGCTGGAATTTGTTTTTAGTGAAGCTGTGTTTTCCTAAATTTGCTTCTAGTAATTACTTGTTCCTTTTAATACTACAATACTACAATACTATAATAAAGTATAGTTCCGCTAATTAAGAAGTTTGTTTCATTTTTACAAAATCCTGTGATTCGAATATACACGCATACAGGCGATTACGTAACATTTGGTGTCAGAAGTGGAATATTGCAAAATGGTGAATTTGGGGGAATTGACTGTGGTTCAACTGAAAAAGCAGTTGGAGAATGTGGGACTTGGCACAGGTGGTGCGAAAGCAGAACTGCAGTTGAGACTTCGTGAGGCGTTGGAGGCTAATGGCATAAATGTAGAAGAACACGAGTTCATAGATGAAAAAAAAACCTGACAAGAATAGTGAAATGATGGCAATCATGAACTTAATGATGCAGAAACATGAGAAAAATTCATAAAAATAGGCGCACGGTTTACACAAGTTGGAAGAAAAGCTTGCGCAAAATTCAAAGGAAAAGGCGCACGGTTTACGCAAGTTGGAACAACAATTTAGTGAAATCACGCAGACATTAGGACAAAAATTTGTCGAATTAAAGTTTTACAACAAGTCCAAAAAAGGTGCTCGAGAAGAAAGGACCCGATTGATCAGAATGTCCAGGTCTCAAAAGATGATACGGTTCAATTGGAAAGCCATGCTGAGAATAGGCAGGTAAGCGGGTCATCTTCAGCCATTCGTGAAACTGGTAGCGTTGAACTACAGGCACCGACGTTTGATGGGAGCGAGACTTTTGAAGTATTCAAACTACAATTTGAAATAGTGGCTGCAACAAATAATTGGAATATTAGTGAGAAAACGGAATCACTAATTGTGGCACTAAAAGGTAGTGCGGCAGAAGTTTTGCAGCAAATTCCACCCGAAAAACATAAAAACTACCAAGCTGTAATGGATACATTGGAGCGCAAGTACGGTAACGTTTTTATGGCTCCATTACACAGGGTAGTACTGGAAGCAAGAGCTTCGCCTGTTGACGAGAGTCCTGGAAAATATTATGCCGACATTGAACGGTTGTGTTACTTGGTCTACATTGGTAGCTCTGGTGATATTATGGAGAAGAGTAAAATCGACAATTTGTAAGGACGGAATTTTGTACAAATTCCGCCCTACATAAAACTTATTATTTTTTACTAAAAATCGTCTTTGGATAAAACTTACTGAGAAGAATCAAGACTAGAATAAGTTATTTAAAATAATCTTTTTTTTTTAATAAATAAAATTTTAAAATAATAAAAAACAAACGGTCTTTTACTTTCCACTCATTGGTTTACCAGCTTCGAACTAGTCAATAAAACAAATTTATTGCAACGACCCGGACCGCGACTGAGTGATACCTCAGCAAATTAAAAACGACGAATCCGTGTCGTTACAAATTCAATAGACGGCATACGTGATCCGAAAATTAAGCGTCAGGTCGTAATGTTCTCGAAGGAGACATACTCTGAAACAGTTAGCGGCGCTTTGACATACGAAGCTGCCGGTATAATGTGTTGCTTTACAGCAAAAGTATGGAAAATAAAAACTGGAGTGAAAGCAGGAAGAAAGACAAGAAGGAAGACAAAAGGAAAGACAGAAGGAAAGGCAGGAAGAGAGACAAGAAAGAAGATAAGAAAGGAGGTAAAAAGAAATAGAGGAAAGAGAAGAAAAGAAAGAAGGATAAGAGAGAAGACAAGAAAGAAGATAAGAGGAAGAAGAAGACTGAATCAAATAATGAATAGGGAAAAAAGAAACAGAAGAAAGAGAAGAAAGAAAAGGAGGAAAGACTATTTCGGCTAAGATAGTTATGATTTCATGTTAATCGGCTCTGGTATAGCGGAATCAGTTGAAATTAACATCTGCTTGGACGAGCAAGAGTCCCCATATGTTATATATGTTGAGGGTATTCCATTTGAAGTAGATTTCACATGCGATGTTGTTATTCCATGTGAAGCAATTGGCAGAAATGATATATCCCCGGCAAATATGTCATTTAAGGCAGATGACATGTTAGCTGTTGATATTTCATCCAATGCGGATGTTTTTGATAGCATGTTGGCTACAGATACTCAAATCTATGCTGGTAGTGCAGTTGATAAAGTTTTCATGATTAATCAGGAAGTCAAATATGATGCGGAGATTGCAGAGGGCTTGTTGGTCGCGGATAAGTTATCTTATAAAGATATACGGTTAAACGTTGATGCCGACCTCATAGATGATGAGAACGTAACAATTAATGGAAATGTTTGTTTCATGAGGATACCACAGATGACGTATTGGCTACGGGTAGTGAATTTAATGCTGATGTCAGGGATGTCTTGTTCGTTTCGGATATAACAAATAATGAGGATTTCACAACTGATATTGATATATCTGATGGTGCGGTTTTTGTTGATCAGTACATTCCTGATTGGCATACTCAATGTATTGACAAGTTTGTTGCGTCTAACGTAAGTAGCATTGATAATAGTGACAGCTGTTTGCAAATGGAGGTTTATCAGTTTGACTCAGACGACGCGGATTTAAAATTCGGAATAACGCCACTTTGCGGCAAGATGACATGTGACTACACTGGAAGTAAGTGGGACCAATTAGATGAAATTCATCGATTTATTAGAAAACGGCTCCTACTGACCAGGAACTGAAATGCTAATGATGATGATGATACTCAAAATCTCCACCCAGTAGCTATAATAAGTAAGCACATATTGAAAATCTTGAGTGAGAACGGTGTGTGTTCGCAATTTGTGTCTGATGAAGATGTTGTGATGTTTGTTTGGTGTTTATGATGGTGTTTATCGAATTCAACAGTCGGGGCATCATAGAGCTCGAATGAAAGTGGTGCATCTGGAACGGCTGGCACCTTATTGCAACAATTTACCTGTTCGGGACGAACAGGTAAGATGAGGGCAATGTTACGAATTTGATCAGATTAACAATGGAATGTTTAAATATTATTTAATTATTATGTCAATCGATATTTTATAATAAGTTAGTTAGAATTTGTTTTTAGTGAAGCTGTATTTTCCTATATTTGCTTCTCGTAATTACTTGTTCCTTTTAATACTACAATACTACAATACTATAATAAGGTATAGTTCCGCTAATTAAGAAGTTTGTTTCATTTTTACAAAATCCTGTGATTCGAATATACACGCATACAGGCGATTACGTAACAATAGCTGCGTTTCAGCAAACATGATCCGCTCAATTTTACATGCAAAACAAAAACAATGGGGTGAACCAGCAATTGATCTCGTTCACTTTCTGGTTCAATGTGGAATCTATGTAAAAGATAAAAGTGGAACGTATTTTAATGCAAATGAGGTTGGCAATGCGATGCAACGGTGTAGTAAAATTATAAACAAATCTACATTTATATTTATTTATTTATTTAATATGTCATTATTATTTATTTCTTTGGTTGAAGTAATGTTTTAATTATTACTATTACTATAAATTAAAATTATTAAAATTAATTAAAATTATTACTTTAATTATTTTCGTTTTATTATTATTAAAAAAGTGTTGTTTGATAATTTATGAAAATCAATTAATTTGAAATGAATATATAAACATTAAGTTGAATACATTTATTTAATTAAAACAGAACAATACATAAGGAAACAGGCTCTCCAACATACACGTTTATAAAAAAAACCATTTTTATCGCAAACTATCTGCAAGATTAAGCTATAGTCATGCTTTCTTTTGAAATAAGCCTATTTGCTATGTTGAGGTGCATTTATTTTAATATGTGTGCTGTCTATGCAATCAATCAAGAACGGAAATTTTTTCGTAGATCCCACTTTTGCACTATTAGCAAGTGCGTATTTTATTAATTAAGCTAAACACTAGTTCTTTTAATTATTCTCCATACAGAAGCTTTTGGTATGCCAAAACAAATACCAAATTCGCAAAAAGTATTTATATTTGCCATATACCACAAAAATATATAAATTTCCTTCATTGCTCTCGTCCAATTGTGACCACCACGGTTATTTTGTATTTGCTGATTGGATTTTATTAACAAATCTATTAAAATATGAAACATAATTAATATATAGCAATTGTATTTTTTATGCGCAAATACCAATCAAATAATCTTTAACGGAAGAATTATTGATCGTTTCCATAAAATTTCCACTATATCCATGCTGATGCACTTCATCCCTTGAACTTAATACACTTGAACTAGTATTTAAAAAGGGAATGGAAGAGTCAGTTTTGCTCGATGATTCTAATAAAATCTGCAATTTTCATTTATTTACTATAGAATTAAATATAAGTTTTAAAGTAAATACTAAATAAAAACTTACATTTCATACTTCAGACATTTCAACAGATTTTATTTATTTTCCATTTTTTAGATTTTTTGTATTTAAAATTTCTCACTTATTTTTTTAGCGCCAAAATTATTCACATAAATCAAAAAATTTTGTGCACAAACCCAACTGGCATATTTCATGCGTTGCCAATTATTTTCAAACGTGGTCCGTATCGTTTCAGCAAAGATGATTCAGATCATTGAGCAATTCATGTTTGCTGAAACGCAGCTAATATTAATACATATTTCTTGTATGTATATATTTGACATTTCTCTTACTATTATTTTTGTACCAGCGATATACGCATACGGTACTCTAATGACGGTGCAGTAATGCACTCATCATTACAATTTTAAATTTACAATTTTTTATATAAGTTATTTGTGGTCGAATGGCGGAGCGTTTCTAAAATTCTTTATTAATAATTGCTAGTGCGCTGCACTTACAAATTAATTTGATTAGTTTACAAAATTTTAAATTAATATAATTTTATTTATTATTTTAATATAAAAGCAATGTCAGCTGCCCGTACAAATTATTTTGCTTATTCTATAATTTGATTTCTAGTTATCTGATACTTGTTGAATTTGAGTTAAATGATGGGATGATTCGGTTGGATATTTAGCTGTATTATTGTTAAGTAGTTGCGAGAGGCAAGCATCTAATGTTGGTTGACATATAAAGGCTGTTGCCGTATAAATACAATTCTTAATTGGTAATGTAACATTTGGACAGCTTAATGCTTCGTTAAAGGATAACTTAATTATAGTACCCTGATAACAGGGTAAATATTAATATAATTACAAAATTTAAATACTTTTGGAATTCTTAAAACATAATAAATTATATCAGTATTCTGTAGGATTTTTAATTTTGCAGCACTAAGTAGGCTTTCCACACTTATAGTGAAATTTTCAATTGAAATGATTTTATTTAATTCTGAATCAGGGGGTTAGTTATATTATTTTTTGCTAATACTACCAATAGTGCAATCGTGTTTAAATTTGTCTTAATTCTATTATTTCTATTTTGATATAATTCAAATAAAACTTCTTCCCTGTCAGGAATTACATTGTTTATAGAAGCGGATTTTCTTATGTTATTAATTTGTTCTCTGTAATTTCGTTTATTTTCATCTCTAAAGCTGAATTTATTGTAGTTTGTTTATTATTATTTTCGATCAAGTAATTTTGTTTGGTGGACAGCAATTCAAAATCGTCGTGATCTGGTGTTCCAGCGATAAATTTTAGTGCCGACCCGAAATCTCTTGACCTGTTACGTTCAACATCTTTTGATGTTTGTGAGCAGAGTTAAAGTCTGGCACGGTGGCGAGGCCAGCTAGCTCGTCAGAAAAGGGGTGGATTATTTACTCCACTATAGCACATTCGAACCGTAACATAAAAAATAAAAAAAAAATTGTGCCAGAGAGTTTTGTTCAAAAAAAAAAATTGCGATAAATGTGATCAAAGTAGATCAAACAAAAACAATAACGAAGGTAAAAATAACAAAAAAAAATATATAAAATTACTATTACTATTTCATTGTAATACTGTGTCTACCAGTGGTGAGTTACAAATATTTAATCGAAGCTTAAATAACTAACAAACTTCATTTTATTAAATATAATTATGCAAATGACATTATTGACATGATAAAAATAAAAATATTAAATAAAAAAAATAAAAAAATATAAGAAAATAATGAACAAATTCAAATAATATTAGAAATATTTAACAAAATAAATCAAGAGTAAAAAAAAAACCAAAGAGAAAAAGAAAATAAGCAAAAAGGTATTTACATTGTGACCGAAAAGTTTTCGGAAATTCTCATTTAAAATTCGCGCGCTGTATATTTTTCGATATTTTAAGTTTATGTAGTTTGGCAGCACTGTCCTTAATTACTATGCCAAAAATGAGCGCGATCTGTCAGACAGTTCGTTTACGGCAGCTGTTGAAACCAGTTCACCTCAGTAGTGCGTTGCGAAAAAAACAATGGAAAAAAATATTGATCAAAGAGTTTGCATCAAATTTTGTGTTTCGAACGAATTTTCGTGTGCAGAATCGTTGCGAATGCTACAAAAGGCTTATGGGGAATCAGTTTTATCGAAAACTCAAGTTTATGAGTGGTACAAAGCCTTTCAGGACTGTCGTACGACCGTCGAAGACATGCCGCGTTCTGGACGACCTTCGACCTCTACCACCGACGAAAACATTGAAAAGGCAAAGGAAATCGTGTTCAAAAATCCTCATGTGAGTGTTAGAGAGATAGCACGAGAGCTAGGCATCGGTCGTGAGATGGCTCGTTTGATTTTGGTGGACAATTTGTGTATGCGACGTGTCAACGCTCGGCTTTTTCCGATTCACCTCAATTTGTTCCAAAAACACCATCGTGGACAGGTCTCGTTAGACATGCTTGATCGTGCCAATTCCGATCCAACTTTCATGGAACGCATCATAACGGGTGACGAGACATGGGTCTACGAGTACGACATGCAAACAAGCCAACAATCATCGGAATGGAGAGGAAAAGACGAGCCGAAACCGAAAAAACCACGCCAAAGTCGCTCGAAAATCAAGGCAATGCTGATTGTTTTCTTCGATATTCGTGGTGTGGTGCATCATGAATTCGTCCCTGAAGGACAAACAGTCAATAAAGCCTATTATTTGACTGTTTTAAGACGTTTGCGTGAAAATATCCGCCGTAAACGGCCTCAATTGTGGAAGGATAATTCATGGATTTTTCATGACGATAATGCTCCCTCGCACCGAGCCAACATTATCAACGATTTTAAGGCCAAACATTCAATAAATACCATCGAACAGCCCCCGTATTCACCTGATCTTGCACCGTGTGACTTTTTCCTGTTTCCCAAACTCAAATTACCACTCAGAGGAACGCGTTTTGAATCCATAGAAGACGTAAAACAGAATTCGCAGAGGAAACTCAAAGCCATACCGGAAAGCGCCTATAAAAAATGTTTTGATGATTGGAAGAAACGTTGGCATTTGTGTATCGCTTCTAATGGAGCATATTTTGAAGGAGATAAAATAAATATTGATGAAGATTAAGAATTTTGCGTTTTATTTAAAATTTCCGGAAACTTTTCGGTCACAATGTAAACTAAGCTTAAATAACTAACAAACTTCATTTTATTAAATATAATTATGCAAATGAAATTATTGACATGATAAAAATAAAAAAAATATTAAATAATAAAAAAAATAAGAAAATAATGAACAAATTCAAATAATGTTAGAAATATTTAACAAAATAAATCAAGAGTAAAAAAAAACCAAAGAGAAAAAGAAAATAAGTAAAAAGATAAACAAACAAAGAGAGGACTATTACAAGTAGCATTTTTTTATCCAGCTACTCTTATTTACGAATTCGCCTCCACGTTGGTGACGTCACCAGCCAGGAAACCTGTAATTAAAATAAAACCTAAGACTCTCTTTCTATCTGTACTCTTAAGTACTTTCATAGTATATTGGTTGATGCCTATATACCCACATATACATCAAGTTTATATGTTTCTTTTCCCTTTTTTTCCTTTCGTTTTTCTTTTTTTTCTCTCTGACTCCTGTTTCAACAATTAGTTTAATTAAGTATTAAGAATTCAATAATAATAAAAAATAATAAAAATTATAAAAATTATATAATAAAATAATTTTATAGTCAATAAGACCATTGCGTGATGTGCCATTCATTTGTAAAATGGGATCAGTTGGAGTAACTAATTCTTCATCAGATGGATTTTCTTTTCACTTGTTGTTCTTTGCTGCTGCCTTATTCATGCCACTGAGATAGGGATGCTCTCAATTCATGGCCATCAGTTAAGTGGCCAGATTAGTTTAGAACTTTTTAGTTTTCTTTAGCGATAATTTAAACCTCCGATTTTTAAGAATAGATTAAACGTTTAAAGCGTAAAGAATATTTCTTTCGTACATTCGTACATATGTATAACTTGTATATAAAAGTGCACTTTTATGTAATTTTAACTTATTAAATTTCTCACACAATATGTAAAGTGCATTGCAAAAAAAAATGCTATTGTCAGTTATAACATTTTTGTTCCACTTAATATTTTAATAATTTAATATAACACAATTATTAATTATAATAATTTACAGCATTCAATTTTAGTTATTCATTATCTGGTATTTTTCGAATGCTGTAGTTATTATATATTTATTTTTTTTTTTATTTTTAAATATCCAATTTATCTATTAGCTAATATATTTCAATCATATATTTTAAATTCCACCAATAAAAAAACTTTTCAAACTGCTCGCGGACATCGACCGTCACCTTTGAAATCACTTGTTCAAGAAGGTGAATAATTCACAGCAGCGGCTGGTGTCGGTTCTTTGTTCAAGTTAATAGACGATATAAGTATATTTACATAAATATAAATACATCGAATTGTTTTGTGAAGTTTGTGCAGATGAGCGTTGCCTTTTTGATTGCTGATTTTTGCAAATTGGTACACGCTTTAACTGATAATTGTTTAATTAATTTAAGAAATAAATTCTAAAAACTTATTTTGTATTTGCAAAACACGCGCGGTTAATTTGGTTTTGTTTTTATACATACAAAACAGCTGACAGAGACAGCAATTAATTGTTTGGTTTTTTTTGTTTTATTAAAGAAAAGCTTATAATCAGCTGATAGAGACAGCAAGTAAAGCTTAAATAAGAAGTGCGAACAGTGTTGTAAAACTATTAAATTACTGCAGAAATATTGTTCTTTTTATCGTGTAATTGTGTAATTGATTCCGTGTATAAAATAATTGTTAATATGAAAGATTGTTATAAATGCGGTGGAGGCATACGCGGTGAAACTGGTCTAATATGTAGAGGAATTTGTGGTAGAGCATATCACACCTCCATAAAATGCTCAGGGATTGAACAATTTAATGTAAATTGTCTTAATAACAGTATGATACAATTTATGTGTGAAGAGTGTGTGCAGTATATTCATAATACTGATTTTGCAATTAAACAAATACAAAGCAGTGTAGAAAAAAATCAATCGTACTTAAAAGCCTACAAAGCAGAATTCAAAGAGGCTCTTAAAACTAATGAAAATGAAATAAAATCCTTGTTAAAGGCTGTTGAGGCTAGATATAGTGAAAGAATAAAAAAGCTTATTAATATTCAAGAAATTTAAGAACAAAAATTCAGCTCCTTTGAAACAAAATTAGCTGATATGACAAAAAGTGTAAAAGAACTCGATGAGAAAATGTATAAAACACCTATTAACAAGGATCAGCCTAGTTTTATTACCTATGCTGCTAAGTTGAAATCAGGTTTAAATAAAAATGTGCCAATCACTCTTAAACCAAAGAATAAACAGCAAAGTGAAGAAACAAAAAAGGAATTAAAGTTAAAAATAAATCCATCTAATCTTAATGTTAAAATTCATGGTTTTATGAGTGCACAAGATGGGGGAGTAACAGTGAAATGTGGTACTACTAAAGGTAGAGAAATTTTAGCTAGTGAAATAAAAAAAAACTCAGTGACAATTATGTTATTTCAACACCGGATATGCGTAATCCTAAAATATTGATATCTGGAATATCTGAAAAATTAGATGATGATAAAATTATAAATGCAATTAAAAATCAGAATGAGATTGTTTTTCGCTCAATTAAAGTGCTAAAGGTATATGAATCATACAAAAACAAAAACACTTTTAATGCTATTGTTGAATTAGACAGTACTGCATTTGCTAAAATAATGAAAGAGCGTAGAATTAATGTGGGTTGGGATAGATGCCTTGTTTATGAGAGTTTTAATGTAATGAGGTGCTTTAAGTGATGGGGCTTCAATCACAAAGCAAGTGTATGTAAAGAAAATGGAGTGACTTGTGCAAAATGCAGTGAAATTGGGCACTTTCATAAAGAGTGTGTAAGCAGCATTATAAAATGTATAAACTGCGTGAAGATGATAAAAACTCGTAATCTCAAGGACATCTCTACAGATCATGATTGCAGAGATATGAACTGTAAAACTTTACAACGAAGACTTAAATTTGAGGCAGATAAAATTAATTATCAATCATGAATGATCATAAAACCTTAATAAACATTCTTTGTGCTCAAAATAATAATTTCAATATAGTTCATTTCAATGCCAGAAGCCTAAATGGTCTTAAACTTGATCATGTAAAATCAGTGTTTGAAGACTCCAGTGTTGACATTATTTGCGTTTCTGAAACATGGTTAGATAATGAGATCAGTAGTTCATTTTTTTCTATAAAAGGTTATGTTTTATATCGCCATGATAGAAAAAACAGAAAAGGAGGTGGAGTTGCAATTTATTGCAAATCTTATTTAAGTAGTCAGTTAATAAGTACTTCGGATGAATCAGATATTGAATTTATTTGTGTGTCTATTAGCTGCCACAGTAATAAAATTTTAGTTTCCTGTGTCTACAATCCACATAACCGATTCTCATGCGATCCATTATTCGACTCGCTTCTCTTAGTTGTACATAAATATGATTTTATCGCAGTACTTGGTGATTTTAATTATGACTTTTTAGTAAACTGTAGTAAAGACCTGAAACTAAAAGACTTATTAGCCATGATCGGCCTAAGTATCATTAACGAAACTGAACCAACTAGATACTGTAACAGTGTGCGACCTAGTCTTTTAGATATAGTTGCTGTTATAATCTAGTATGTTTTGCATTAGTTTAAGCAATCTTAAATAATGAAATGTAAACAAAATTTAGTTAAATATAAACTGTCAATCTTGTCGGTTGTATTTACTTCAGTTGGCGACGAGGATAAAAATCTGCAATTATTCAATCGCTTTTACGCTTTTTTCGTACCGTTCAATTTTACATACAATCATGCCGGGCGAAAGTGAAATTTATAAGCAATTGCTTAAAGAACAACAAGAGTTCTTAAAAAATTTGCTGAAACAACAACGTGAGTGGATGGACTCAATGTTTCAAAAACAAGGTACTGCCGGTGTATCTGAAAGAAATAACAACATTGTTCCAGTATTTCACAAATTTTCGAAAGAACAGCAAACCTGGGAATCGTACTTAGAACAACTTAACCAACATTTTTTAGCATATTCAGTTCAGTGCAGTGAAAAACAAAAATCATTTTTCTTGTCTTGGATTGGCACAGAAAATTTTGAGCTGCTAAAAAATCTTTTCGGTAACACGAAAGTACAAGAACAATCTTTCAAAAATTTAACGGAAAAACTAACGGATCATTTCCAGTCGAAACGACATGTGGTCGCTGCACGTTACGATTTTTTCAAAAGGGAAATGAAGCCACATCAATCATACAGAGAGTGGGTAGCCGATCTCCGCGGATTGGCAAGAGAGTGTAACTTTTCGTGCTCAGCCCAGAATTGTTTACACAATTTCGTGGATGATATGATTCGTGACCAAATTATTATACGTACACCTCACGATGCAGTGCGCACGGCTGCGTTCCAAAAGCCCCAGCCGACACTTGCTGATGTTTTGCAGATTGCAGAATTGTACGAAACAACCACTAAAACGGTGGCAACAATTAAAGAACAAACGATCGAAAACTCAATGCCTGTTAATTCAGTTGGTACAATTATAAAAAAATCGGGTGTTTTCAACAATAACAATAATAAAGTAAAATTCAAATCATGTTCTGGCTGTGGAAACTCTCATGCAAGAGAAAACTGTAAATTTAGAAATGCTGTTTGCAATAGATGTAGCAAAATTGGACATATTGCGCCAGTGTGCATGTCAAAACAAAACAAGAACAACAAACGTAATTCAGGTGATGAAAACAAGAAGAAAGATTACCGTCGTAAAAGTCACAACATTGGTACTGTAGAAACAATTAACAGTTTAACAGGTATTGTAAAAACTGAAAGCAATAAGAATTACATTGACTTGGAAATTTGTAATAAAATTGTGTCTTTCCAAATGGATTCTGGTGCAACAGTTTCTTTAATAAATAAGCGAACATTCAAAACTCTAAATTGCCCAAAGTTGCAAAATTGTACAAAAACCTTATTTGGTTTTGGCAAAAATGAAATTCCAGTGCTTGGTGAACTTTGCGTAGATATCAAATGTGGCGGAAAAGAAAGGGAAGTGGTAATCGTTGTCGTGGATGTCGAAAACTGTAACAATTTATTCGGTTTCGATTTATTTAAAGAATTCGGGTTTGAGATTCAACAAATTTGTAACATTACTGAAAGTGAATCACACAGAATTAGCGAGCTGTGTAAGAAATATGGTGATATTTTTGAACCAGCTCTTGGCACAATAAAAAACTTTAAGGTCAGTATTTTTTTAAAGCCAAATGCACATCCGAAATTTTACAAAAGCCGACAAATTCCATTTTCGCAAATGTCACTTTTCAAGAAAGAAGTCGATCGATTGACAAATGCGGGTATTTGGAAACCTGTGAAGTTTTCCCAATGGGCTTCGCCTATTGTACTAGCGCCAAAAGCTGATGGTTCCATAAGAATTTGTGGGGATTTTAAACAAGCAGTCAATGCGCAAATTGACATTGAACAATATCCTTTGCCCATACGCGAAAGTCTTTTCCATAAAATTAATTGCGGTCAACATTTTACAAAAATCGACCTTAAGGACGCGTATTTACAAATGGAACTCGACGATGAAGCAAAAACAATAATGGTTGTCAACACTCCACTTGGGTTATTCCAATACCAACGTTTACCGTTTGGGATTGCAAGCGCTCCAGCTATATTCCAAAGATATCTTGAGCAGTTACTTCAAGGCGTAGAAGGTTGTGGAAATTATCTCGATGACATCATCATCTCCGCACCTACATTTCAACAACACATCAGCCGCCTAGAACAAGTACTTCGTATTTTGCAACAAAATGGTATCAGGTGCAAGCAAGAAAAATGTTTCTTTCTGCGAGATAAAATCGAATATCTCGGGCGTCAAATTAGTGCAAAAGGTATATTGCCAGATGAGTCAGGACTAAAAGCAGTCAAAAACCTGCAGCCGCCTAAAGATCTAAAGCAAGCAGAAGCATTCATGGGTAAGGTAAACTATTACCATAATTTTATACCTAATTTTTCGCAATTATCCGCGCCAATCAACATGCTGCGCCGAAAAAATGTAAAATTCACATGGGGTACAGCACAACAACAAGCATTTATAGCTCTTAAAACGCATATTCTCAATGCAGCGCAATTAGCACATTATCAGGAAGATTTACCGTTGGTTCTAGCTACAGATGCCTCCTCCTATGGCATAGGAGTCGTGCTCTCGCATACGTACGTTGACGGTACAGAAAGGCCTATTGCTTTTGCATCTAAAACTCTCGACATTCATCAACGACGATATAGTCAGATAGAGAAGGAAGGGCTAGCTATCGTTTTTGGAGTCAAGCGTTTCCATCAATATTTATACGGAAGAAGATTCACCTTGGTTACTGACCACAAACCTCTTGTTAGCATTTTTAATCCAATTCATCAGTTGCCGTCGATGACGTCACATCGTTTACAGCGATGGGCTATTATACTAATGGCTTATCAGTATGATGTTCGGTATCGTAAAACTACTGAGCATGGATATGCCGATGCTTTATCTCGTTTACCTGTTGGTGAAGATAAAACTTTTGATCATGAAGAATCCTGTTTCAACATCAATGAACTTAACACACCTATCGACGCTGAAATAATTCGTCAGCATGCCAAAAATGACCCAATTCTTCGCCGAGTTTATTTTCTCGTTACAAACGGTTGGCCTGAAAAGCTAATGCCTCAAGATGCTGATCTTCGATCATTTTTCAATCATCGCTTTGCTTTAATACTTAACAACGATTTGCTTTGCCTCCAGACGGAGTACAACCGGGTTGTCATTCCAGCCTCCCTTAAGCAGAAAGTTCTTAAACTTCTTCATGATGGTCATTGGGGAGTATCGAGAATGAAACAGCTAGCTCGACAACATGTCTGGTGGACTAATATTGACAAAGACATCGCACAATTAACTGAAAATTGTGATGTGTGCAAAATTGCAAATCCTGTTCACGCACGTGAATACTTAAGCTGGCCTGAAGCTGATCGACCTTGGGAGAGAGTACATATCGACTTTGCTGGTCCATTTTGTAATTCAATGTGGCTAATTTGTGTCGACGCTTTCTCACAATTTCCGTTCGTTGTACAACTATCTACAACAACAACGGTTGACACCATATCAGCATTGTCTTCTATATTTTCTCTGGAAGGTATACCAGAAACCATCGTAAGTGACAATGGTCCGCAATTTACAGCTGAAGCATTCAAACATTTTTGCTCAAAACTTGGCATCAAACATATAACAACAGCGCCGTTTCATCCAGCCTCAAACGGGTTAGCCGAACGATTCGTCAGATCTTTTAAAACTGCTGTTCAGAAAAACATTGACGATGGATTGTCTCTCAAATTCGCTGTATCAAAATACCTTGCAACATATCGTGCAATGCCGAATGCTGAAGGTAAATCACCTGCGGAACTTTTACATGGAAGGCCTGTTCGTACCTTGTTGAGTCAACTGTTTGAATCGCCTAGGAAGCACCTTGAAGCTTCGAAACGGAAAATGAAATTCAGTCTAAAGCAACCCGTCTTCGCTCGAAACTACGCAAGAGGGGAAAAATGGATAAAAGGAGTTATTGTGAAACAACTTGGTAAAATGGTTTACCGAGTGAACACATCTTTTGGTTACATCAAACGTCATGTTAATCAGCTTAAAACTAGAAGTAGCTCTGACCTCTCTTCACAACCAATTTTTGAATTCGCTCCAAATTTCATCAATGCCACACCGCCTTCATCTAGCCAATCAACATTAATGCCTAGTGAAGAACGTTCTACCGAAGTAGTTCAACTTCGAAAAAGTTGTCGTATTCGGAAGGATGTAAATCGATTTGAATCCGACGATTTCAGGAAAACTTAAACCTTGTCAAAAATTAAGGGCGGAGAAAGTGTTATAATCTAGTATGTTTTGCATTAGTTTAAGCAATCTTAAATAATGAAATGTAAACAAAATTTAGTTAAATATAAACTGTCAATCTTGTCGGTTGTATTTACTTCAGTTGCTGTATCGGATCCTAATAAAATCTTACTATTTGATCAAATCTCTTTTATATCTGATCATCATTTACTGTTTGCTACATTGAATTTTAACCCAAACAGGAAATCTAGTCCTACCTCTTTTTCTTACAGAGATTTTAAATCAGTTGATACAATCAGATTATTTGATGAACTAAATACTGTTGATTGGAGTGATTGCTGGTTTGCTTCAACTTCTGACGATAAGTTAGATAAATTTAATAATAATTTTTTTATCGATTTGTTCCGCTGCGGACTATTACTATTAAAAGTTCCTCCTGTCCTTGGATAAACCCTCAGATTAAAAGAAAGATAAATTACAGAAACAAAAAGCATGCAGTATGGAAAAAGTTTCCTTCGACCTATAACTGGATGCGGTTTAAATTAGCTAGAAATTTAGCTGCGAAGGCAGTAAGCATAGCTAAATCGGCGTTTTATAACATTAAGCTTGACACTACACAGCCAACAAAGAATATCTGGAGGAACATTAAACATTTGAGATTAAAGCAAGATAGTACAACACATTGTGAACTAAGTCCAAATGACCTAAATGACTACTTCATTTCGTGTATTAATGTAAATTGTAAAAATATCTCTTCGACATTCCCAATTTCTAATGTACTTCCAATGAGAGGTTTAATTTTATAGGTGTTAGTGAAGAAATAGTCTGTAAAAGCTTGATGAATATTAAATCAAATGCCGTTGGATTGGATAACCTTTCTCTCAAATTTCTAAAGCTCACTTTGCCGTACATAATAGCTCCTATTACACATATAATTAATCATTGTATAACAACGTCAACCTTTCCCATTATGTGGTAAAAGGCTAAAATTATTCCAACTCCGAAGAAGACTAACGCTTCGTTGACTTGTGATTACAGACCTATTAGTATTCTTCCATCACTGTCCAAAGTTTGCGAGCTTTTAATGGCTAATCAAATTAATGTTCATCTTGAGCGTTTCCAACTCCTCTCTCCATTACAGTCTGGCTTTAGAAAGGGTCATAGCTGCTCTACTGCCATGCTTAAAGTTTTAGAAGACGTTCGACCTAGCTATGATAATGATATGATTACATTTTTATGTCTTTTAGACTTCTCTAAAGCATTTGATCGTGTTGATCACTCCATACTATGTAAGAAATTAACTTATTATTTTTTGTTTTCGTACTCTGCCTCTAAATTTATATATAGCTATTTAACAGGGAGATCGCAGACTGTATTCTCTGCTAATAAATATTCGAATTTTAAATCGTTGCCTACTGGTGTTCCACAAGGGTCAATCCTCGGCCCACTGCTCTTCTCAATATATATAAATGATGTTTTCTCCATATGTAAATACTCCAAATTATATGCATATGCAGATGATATTCAGATGTATCTTTCGAGTACTGTAGGTTTTTTAGGTGGCAGTGTTAGTAAGCTTACTGATGACTTAGAAAGAATTAATGCATGGGCAAAAGTAAACAACATGTTGCTTAATACAGATAAAACAATTATTCTGCCTATTGCGAGAAGAAAAATTATACTGGAGAAATTGCCTTTAATTTTAATTGGTAGTACTACAATTGATTATAAATTATCAGTAAAATGCTTAGGTTTTTACTTGAACTCCAGCTTGAATGCCCGTGACCATATAAATCGTCTTTCGAAAATCAATTGTATCACTTAGATGTTTACAATTATCAGCTAAATATACTCCAATAAATCTTCGTTGTACGTTAGTAAAGCAATTAATAATGCCTATAGTTATGTATTCTAGTCTGGTTTACAGCAAACTTGACTCAGACTCCCTATACAAATTAAGAGCTTTAGTAAACTGCTTGACAAGGTATGTCTATGGACTCAGGCGTTTTGATCATTTAACTGGCTACAGGAATAATATTCTGGGATGTGATATTGAACAATTTATAAATAGATATGTTTGCATATTCGTATTTAAAATCGCTACGTCCCAAATCCCTGGGTACCTTTTTAATAACCTATGTAAATTGCATTCACTGAGATCTAGTGACTAGTTTCTTTTTCATAAATGCGGTAAGACTCTGGAACTCGTTATTTAGTGATACCAGAAACGCAAACAACTTAAGGTGCTTCAAAAAGTTAGTTTTACAGGAACTGTCTTAGTTTATTATTACCATTTTATATTAATTAATATTGTTTCATTCTTATTTCTTTATTTTGATTAATTTTTTCTTTTAATTATTAATATTATTTTTGGCTTATTAATATTTTCTTTTTTTTACTGTTCGTTTTGCCTTTTATTTTGATTTCATTAATAAATTCTTTAATTTTTCTCTATAATTTTTTCTATAATTTCATTGTTATTATGATTATATTTTAATTTTTTTAATAATTATTTTTTAAGCAATAGTTTAATTAGTATATTTAATTTTATTTGTTAGTTTGTAAGTTAGTATGTAAGATAGTGCATTAAAACGGTGTTCCTCATAGCACTTTATTAAATAAATAAAAAATAAATAAAAGACTGCTAGCAACCACTCTTTCCTTTTTATATCTCTTATCCTTCCGTAATTTAACCCGTTGTAAACTCATCCCGTACACTTTTTGAAGTCGTTCTTTGAACCTTCAGTTAATACTGTTTTTCTTTTGTACATTCCGAACGTCTCACCTGCATTACGCACTTTTTTTCCTTTATAACTTATTTTAATACTTCCATTGTGCATTGCTCTGGCAGCATTGATCTTTACAACTCCTAAAGCTTTTGCTGTCAATTTGATCAAAACAAAAAATGTACAAAAGCTTTTACACATTTATTTATTCTGCAATGTGCGAGCAATGCACTTTGTTAGTATTTAAAAAATTAGTCAATACTATATATATAATAAAAATATTATAGATATAAGTATAAAAAAAATAAAATGTGATCTGGTACTAGTGCTGTTGGCGTAGCACACGAACCAGTGGAGGAAACAATACTGGTGGACGAAACTAGTGCTACTTGGAGTGGAGCTGGGCATCGCGGGTAACCCGAGATAATATCTTGTTTGCAATCTTAATATCTGTATATCTAATTTTTCTCTTTTCGTGCAGGCCTACATAACAGACCTCGCAAATCTTCGGGGAATGTCAAGAATTTTTAATAAACTAAAAATTTCTTCTGTTTGTTCGGTTAAAATTTTCGCAAGATGCGGTTTATCACGAGGTTGGTCTATTATATTATTTGTTTCTTCCGCCATAATTCTATAGTTGGTTAAATTTATCATGTGAATGAGGATCACATAATCATTATAAACTGCAGCTTTTCCCTGTTCCAGCGCAATAAAATGAGCTTGTGTATAGTCTACCACTCTGACGGCTGATAATTTTGTTACTCATAGTAATCTAAAAATAAAATAAAACATAAAATTTGTCTAAATCTAAATTTAAGTTTAGCGCAAATTGCTTTTATGAGTTCTGCGACCTTCTATTTGCACAGTGGTGCCCAGATCTTTTCTATAAAAACCTGATTAAACTTATTTCCTGATCTTTTGTTACGTCGTAAATAAACTTTCTCACCAGGTTCGTATGTTCTAGTTATCCTTTTTGCATTCAATTTTTCTAAGGTTTTTTCCTGCGCTAAAATAAGTTTATTCTTTATTTTTATTATATTTTCAGACGGACAGTTACAAAGTACGTCCACTGGTTTAGCATCTATAACCGAGTGAATGGTGTTATTATATTTTAGTGTCGCTAGTTGTATCAAGTCTCTGGATTCGTTTGAATGTTGCTGTGCTTTTATGCATCGAGTTATTTCTATTAATGTTGAGTGAAATCTTTCAATTTGACCGTTGCTCTCACTATGAAGAGTTTGAATAAAGAATTGCTCAATCGAATAATTATCTCTTAAAAATGACCTCAGCATGTTAGAATGAAAGGCTTTTTCATTGTCCGTGACAATAGATTTTACATTTGGAAATATTGCTAAGATTTCCAATAAGGCATTCTTTATATCTATGGTGAATCTAGAAGTAATATGTTTGACAATCGCAAATTTTGAAAATTTGTCCATTGACGTAAGGAAGAGTTGGCTATCTGTAATAACGATATCGAAGTGAAGAATCTCAGCCAGCCTATTTGGAATGGGTGTCTTACCGATTTCTGGTTTTGGAGGTTTTCGCTGATAATTATTTTCTAAACATATTTTGCAATTTTTAATAACTGACTTTTTCATATTTGGAAAATAATATTCTCCTATAATTTGATTAAAGTTTTCTTGTAAGGATCTATGAGCGCGGTTTTGTTCTGTAAATATTACTTCAAATTGATCATTCTTATTAAGTAAGTCGATGACATGTTTTGCTATGTGAATTAATTTAGTACCCGGGAATGGTGTGATAATTTCATTTAGAAATTTTGCCAATGTTGGCAAGTCGCAACAAATAGCATTAGTTACATTAGTATTTATGGTTACCTTTAAACAGTTCATTAGATTTTCTATAGTATCGTAATTTATTGTGTGACAAAGAAATTTGTTAAATAAAATTTTTTTATTTTTGTTGAAGGTCTCGGTTTTCCCTATAAATAATTGATTTCTGAATTGGTTTACAGGTATTGTTTTTATGGTGTTAGAAAGTGATATTTTACTATGGATGGTTTGCCCATCAGATGAAATTTGGTTGACATATTGCCTTGAGAGTTTATCTGCCATTTTATTTTCTTTTCCTGAATTATAAAGAATTTTTGTGCGAATTCTTCAAATAAAGGGCGCCACCGTTTTATCTTTGAATTTGGATTTTTATCCGATATAGAGAATATAAGTGGTTGGTGGTCTGTGAATATTTTTATATTTTTGACACCGTATAGGTAATGGCGCAATGCTTGAAGAGCCCAAACTATTGCGAGAAGCT